TTTTAAGCTAAAAAAGGGGGGCATTATATTATACATGAGATTGTATTATACACGAATAAATATGGTAGTTGTTAGTTGACATCATTAATTAACTTTCGGAATCATTCTGATATGAGGTGGCTGTCACACCTRACTGAGCCTAAAAGGCACAAAAATGCTTATAACCCAGTYAGTTTTTCAGATATTGAGCTAAAATTGATGCCTTGAGCATGATACCTCATGACACCGCACCAAAATGGCCACAACTGTAAAATTTTCCCATGAAATGACCCCAGTCTAAAACCCAGTCTAAAACAATAAGCAACATGAATTCCTTCAAAGAGTGCTAGGTTTTAAATTTCCAGTTTGTACAACTATGAGAGTTTTCCTGAACGTTGTCTTTCTAATTCAAGGCTTTTTTATTGGGACTTCCATTATTTKTAACTTAGAATCTGCTTTAAAGTACATAATTTTAATTACACAATGGATCCAGTCTCCTTTGGCAAAATAATGGGTTTTAAAAAGAAAAATGTTCTACAAATGGTATACACTCCAAAGTTAGAGCATTGTCAACAAATTAATTAATGTGTGTGGACATAAAGCTGAGGTAGCTGACCTCTATTGTATCGACATACAATGCTAAAGAAAATTTTAACATAATAGCTGTTTAAAATGTTGGTGCAGCACTTGCTGATAAACGCCATCTACAGTGAACTTTCCTGTCAGTGAGTTAATGCAAACTCTGTATTAAAAATTAGATTTGAGTTGTTAGGAAGTAGGATTAGCTGTTCTCTATATGAGGTCATGGACATAATAAAGAGAGGGAGGAGGTCTGTTCAAAGTCCAAGAATTGAAGGTCAAATCTAGGCTATCGTTTTAAATTTTGACATAAATATTCAAATRAAAGGCCTAGCATTCTTTGGAAGAATGCAAATTGCTCCCCAGCTTTTATCCAGAGTGCTAGACAAAGATTATCATATGGAGAGAAACAGTGGTGAGCACAGCTAACCAAAAAGTTAAGTTCACTAAMCACTAATCMACTAAACAAGAATCTTAGCTCAGATTAAAAATAAGTGGAAGCTAACACTAACTACTAACCACTGAGATGACTGTTAGTGTGTCACACATCTTCATCTCCTTCCAGTGSAAGATTGGTGGGACTGACACAAATTTGTTGTTTAAYAACTAYTGGYTTAATTTGAAGGTGGGTGGGATCATTTGTGTCAAATCAGCCAATTCAAACCAGAGTTATAGCGCTGTCTAACTTGTGACAATTCCAGTTTACCCCTTTCAAATTAAAGGCATTTCTTTGATTGAGTTTGTATTTTTCTAAATACCATTTAAAGTTGATCAAACAACAAATGGCAAATACTTTCTCTGCCATATTTTTTACATGGTCAGTTTTTTTTATTCCATCTATCCATCCATCCATACATTATCTATGCCCGCTTCTTCATTTCAAGGTCACGGGGGTCACTGTTGCTCATCCAACGGTCACTGTGTGAGGGGCGGGGTACACCCTGGACCGGTCACAAGTCCATCACAGGGACACGTAAAGACAAACAACAATTCACTCTCACTCACACCTAGGGACAATTTAGAATTACCAATTAACCTAACATTCATGTTTYTGGTCTGTGGGAGGAAGCCRGAGTGGAGGAGAGAACCCATGTATGCACAGAGAGAACATGCAAATTCTACCCAGAAAGATCCCCGAGCCRGGATTTGATCCGGTGACCTTCTTACTGAGAGGCATCAGCTCTACCAACTTAGCCGTGGTGCCGCCAGTTTTTTTAATCATTATATAAATGTTGTTAAATGTTATTTTATTTCTTTTTGATGCCCTTAGTTTGAAGTTTAGCCGATAAAGATGCTATGTGCACAGCCATGCTGGTGTTCGACACATCCAGCACAGCTTGTAAGAGGGCATAGTCTTTAATTCGTTTGGGATAAATTACACAAAAAGAAAATTCTTACACTTGTGAATTTTTTAATGGACTTAAAATTAGCAGAAAATTAGTTAGCAGAATCTAATCTGTCCGCTAATGGTTTCCAAAGTTTGCAAAAATAGCTAATCTGCTAAATAAGAAGTAGTTTCTCTTTTAGTTGGTTACTGAATTAGTGAAACTATGCCCACCACTGCAAGAAATGAAGTACAAATCAGTAATTTTTTTCAACATTAACATTTGAATATAAAATTATAGTCATTACCTTAAAAATAGGTGTTGGGATAAATAAATGCCATTTTGGAAATTCTAACTGCTCACTTTTACTCAACTTTTACTTTTAACGTTTGAGCACATTTTGTATCAGAAATGTTCTTTTGATACTTAGGTAAAGTAAATGTCAGACTTTAAAGGGGCGATATTATGTGTTTCTCAGTCGTACATTTAAATATTATACCAAAATAAAGTATCTATGTCACCTTTAGTTGTTATTAAAATGCTGTTGTGTTTAAATAGAAAATAAACTTATCTTTTCATCACGTCCTCTTCCAGATGCCTTTAAATTGGCCTCTGTCTCTTTAAGAACCACCTTCTGCTTCAGTCTCGCCCATTTCATAGGGGGGAGGGGGCGCTGCTATGATGCAGTTTACTTGGCATCTGAAAATACATTTCCCCAAAGGTGTTTTGAATCTGAAAAGAGCTTCACTGAGTGAGAAGTAGTGGATTTCAGCAGACAGTTTGAGTTTCACTTTCACTTTCACCCGAGAGCCTGCAGGAGTCATGGGCGGGGTGTGTGGGGAGAGGGGAGGGGGGGTGCGCTCTGCCATGAGGAAATTTGGCTTAAAGACACGTCCCAGGGGCGTTTCTGGTACCAAAAGGCATTTCTGGTCCCCACCTGTCGTTTTGCTCCTCAGCATGGCTTCCTAAAAACACTGCAGGATTTCTCAAATATGCATGAATGAGTCAAAGCAAGGCGTTTGGCATGTTTTTTTATGAGAGTATAACATTATAACATGACATAAAACTCAAAATAGTTGATTTTACATGATTTAAAAAGGGCACATGCAAAATCCTTTTAGCTGTAAAATGTAGTTAAGATTGAAAATTTAAACAATGGTTTACACGATATTTTTCTAAAAACAGACCCAAAAATACAGATGCAAGCATCAATATCGCCAAAACTCACCCCAAAATAATATTCTTTAGGATTTTAATAGGTATGGGATGATGACAACAAACAGAAATGCTGGTAGACTTAGACATTTATACAGTGACCAAACATGTGGCTACAGCCCATAGTTTGACTCCTATAAAGCTGTAATTTATTCCAAACTTGGATTCTTCTCATATCTGTGTAAATTCAGCTCCGTCTCAGTCAGACTCACTGACATTCCTGTTTCCAAGGCAACACTTTCACGTTCATCTCACTCCTTGGCCATGAAAGCCCTGATTCAGCTCCCTTATGACACAAATGCACTGAGGTGGGTTAAACTTGTGGCCAGAACTATAACTAGAGACCAGATGGAACAATGAGTTGTTTAAAAAAATCTTTATGGCACTGTTGTTTATGTTGCTAATTTAATTTGCAGTATTTGTTCCACTATGACAACGTGTCATGTTTTCTGGTGCAGCTCGCTGCAGTGGGGCCTGYCAAAGTTTGTCTTGGCCCGACTACAGTTGGTATCATTAGCCAGTTAATGAGTGCCGTCAGYGTGTGTGTGTGTGAGATAGAGATCGATCGATGGGAGCTAATACAGGCCTCTTCATTAGGCTCAACTTAACGTCCACCATTGACTGCTCTGCTGTTGACATAGGGTCTGGCCCCCACCACGCGGCACACCAGGGATGTGTGTGTCACTCACCGAATGAAGAGAACAGCAAGACTGGATGAACGGGATTGATTGTTATGGTTCCACTGGGGGTGGCCCATGGTTCTGGTTGGTGTTCTCTTTGATGGTTGAGGTGTTTGGAATAGCAATGTTCTAACTCCTGCCTTCACTTAGAGCAGCACACACACTCCTAAACAGGGAGATGCATCATGTTTAATGCTAGAACCGCCAAGGGGTCATCTTGCTTCCACTTTATTTTTAACCTCCCTAAAATTCCTAAAAACAAGCTGCACATCTCACTGTTCCACTTCTCCTAAAATAGCATTAATATTCAATAATTACAGGATATGTTTTTCAAAAAAGTAGAATTGGGCTAATTTCTACACAGAACCTTTGAGGGTTAGGGTTACAGTCATTTTACCTGCACAGAAACAACAAAGTATGCGGGGATGAACTGCCATGTCACTGCTATTCCTGGCAATTGAATTGTACCATCAACATAACTAAAGATAGACTAAGAGAATTAATTAACTTCCACTGAACAAAATTGGGTCTAAAATGTCTTGTTTTTGTGAGATATGTTATGTTCTTTGAGAGTCTGTGCTCCAGGGAGGTGGGGTTGTACCAATAATACATCCAACCTCATAGCTTCAACCTCTGGCCTCCAGTCCTGTGTTTTCTATATATGAATATGTATATGTATATGTATATGTATAATATTTTTTTTTCTCAGCTGTTTTGCAGTAGTAATGCAGCTGACTTGGCACTGGAAAATCTTAGTTTTGAATCTCTGCCACGCCCATTTGTTCTGGTGTCCTTAAGACATCTAATCCCTAACTGCTCCTGGGCGCTCACATAGCAGGCCGCTGCTTTAATTGTGTGCATCTTACATGCATGATGGGTCAAATGCAGAGCACAAATTTCATTATTGTATGATAATGTGCATTGATGACACAATATACAGTAGCACATTATTATCCTTATTATCCTTATTA